TCAGTAATGGTTTGGTCTTGTTATGTAGATATGATTAAAGGACCCATAGTTTTTTTTGATGATTACAAAGGCCCCAAAGAAAAAATTACTAAAAAAATTTATACCAAGGTTTTAGACAACCACCTCGTACCATTTATAGCTGCTGCTCATTCGTTACTCAACTCCTATCTGATTTTTCAGCATGATAATGCTCCTGTTCACAAGGTGTCGAATTGGTTGAAATCAAAAAAAAATAGATTATATGAATTGGCCTTCACGATCCCCTGACCTAAATCCTATAGAAAATATTGAAAAATCATGAAGGACAATAATCAGAACTGTGATGACTTCCCCCATGATAAACCTGCGCTTAAGATAGCCTTAATGGAGGCTTGGTCGAATTTGGATACGTTGGTTCTTCGTGTAGTTTTAGACTTAATAATATGAAGAACTGAGGCTATTGCAAATGCAGATAGTCGTTCATCAAAATATTAAATAAAAAATAAAAAAAATATTATGTATATGCGATCAAATTTTTATTAATAAAAAAATTTTCATTTTGAGCCAAAATCGGGCGTTACTTTTGTTAGCTACTGTACATTTTTGGTGCCTAATTTAAATAGTCTGCAACTAAGTTATTCTACTAATCTAGAGTTCTATACTAGCTGCTATACCTATAGCCCAAACTATAGGATTGTCTATTTAAACTCTTTAATTATATCTCTCTACTTTCATAAATAGAAACTACCTAATAATCTAAATATATATGACTATTAGGACTACTTTATTCCTGAAGGTAATCCTGGCTATACACAGTATATATTCCACCTATATATATTTGGTTAGTCTTAATTAGTAACTTACACATAGTATTACCCAATACTTGGAGTTGAAACACTTCTATTTTTTATAAACTTTACTATTACTAATCATCCTTGTTTGGTTTACAAAACACCAATACTACCTCTATATAGTTTTCATACTCTATATTCTTGGTTTTAACAGTCTACCAATCCAGTTAGCCTAGTAGAGTTGGTTTTTTCAAGGCTTTATGTGCTCTTTAATACCCTTTCTTTGGTATATGCTTTCAGAGTATATGTTCTTTTTCTCCAATATAACTCTGGTGGCCAAATTAGTAAACCCCAAACCTATAAAGATCTTTTGTCAACTATTTCTATTAATTTTCTGGGACAATTTAATTCTGTTTCAGGGTGCTATCAAAAGTCTAGTTATTTCTAAACTTGGATCTTGCCAAGCTAGTTTTAGTTCTTCAGGTTCTTTTTGTCAGTTTTCTATAGTTCCAAGAACTTATCGTAGGTTTGCACTACCAATCTCAGTTTGCATTCCTTTGTGAAATACAAATGCTCTAGAACCTTCTAATACTATATTGGTATAACTAGAGTTACAAGTATATAATCCAACCTATTAATAAAAATCTGTTATTATAATACAAAGGATTTTGTTCAAAGTATCGCTAGTAGATTTGAACTTTATATCTTTGAATTAAATTTGCTTGGGAGTGCGACAACTTATTTACTTTGCTATATCACCACATCTTCACTAAGATTTATTTATTTATTTTTTTATTTTTATTTTTATTTATTTAATTGCTGATTTGGATATGATCAGCACTAATCACATGCAAATTATTATAAAAATTGGAGATAATTGTTATAGTAACTTTAATTATAGTCTTGGAATCTGGAACACAATAACCAAATGGTTAAAAGAGTATGCCAAGCTCAAGTTACCTTACTAGAACTAGGCATTTTGGATGAAATATTACATTATAGACCATACTTATGTTATTGGTAAAAAACAAATAAAGTTTTTGACCAAGATATATCTTATTTTCCAATTCACGTTGGACAAAAAACTCAAATTATTCTTAATGATTATAAGTTTATTATTATGATAGTAGTCAGTCATCCTAGTAATCCTGACTTACCTGGTTATATTTGTCAAAGTAATACATTTTGTACTAAAAACCTAGCTCATGATCCTAGTACAGCTATTTCTTCAATCTACATAAGTATTTTCAATACCAAAACCCATTATTCCAAACCACTTATTATTGGGTGGAAAAATTATAAAATGTTTCGCAATTGTTAATTGATGTTTCTTTTTTTCTTTTTTTTTTTAACCTTGGTCAAATTAAAATTTTTGTGTTTGGAATTGGGTCTTCTTCTCAGAAAGATTGGAATAAAGATGGTTCTGGTTATTAGTTGTCATTAATTCATATATATGATAATAAGCAAGGATTATATGTATCATCTATCAAAGATAATATTTGTAAAGTTGAAGTTTATCAAGATTCGCAATTAAAAAAAGCAGTAGAAGGAACATCTCTAAATGATGTTTGGGAATATTTTAGCATCAATAAATATAACGGTATTAAACTTTTTGGTCTTAGTTATATACAATTAATTAAACAGCACCAAATTCCTACTTGTACACCCAATCAATAGAATAATTTTTTCTGTTATAAAAACACTCTATGATTATTATTTAAAGCATAGAACACTTTCTAATATTAACTAGTATAATCTTTTTATTAATTGGTCAACACAAGAAAGTAACATTATTGAGCTGAATTCCACACTTAATTTATTATATCTAAAAGATTATCAATTTGATAGTCAAGAATTAAATGTGTGGTGATCAATGTTTTGCGTTGCTGATGCACATGAAATAACACCCTGGTCATATGCAAAATCAAAGGTATTTAGTAAAACTTTTTTCACATTTAATGTTTCATAATCACATAATAAACTTATCACATTAAATTTTAGTATCAATTTTGGACAAAATCTAATCAACCAAATCATGATTCTGCAATACTCAAACAATTCTATGAAATGAGATTTTTAACAAGTATACCTGTTCATATACCAAATACAACACACACATTTTGGAATTCTTTTTCATGTACTTTAGATAATAATAAAAAAACTTCAGATGGAAAATGGCAAATTTTATCAATAATCACTGAAGATTTTATCTATGATGAATTAGAAACTAACTTAGATGTAAGTTTATTTTACCAGATTAATAATATATATAAAAAAATAATAATAATTATCTGATATTAAAAGGTTGGCCGTCATATGATCTCTGGAGCCCACAAACATGCAAAATTTTACAGTCATGGCATGCCACCTCTTTCAAAGCCTATTATCCATCGTGTAAAACTAACAAAAGAACAACTAAATCAGTTTGAATTTTTTTTTTCTAACAAAGAAAATATTAATATGTCATCTTATAGAACTGAAATATCAACTAGCTTACCAATTTTATACCTTCAGAATTATAAAAAAGCTTTATGAAAAAAGTTTCATGAGAGATATCCAAATGGAATGCAATGTATATCATTTATGACTTCCTTACAAGGTAGCCAATACATATATAAAGATAATCTTGGTGGCATGTACTCAAGTTGTAATGAGCTTGGATATGAAGTGTTTGAAGAGATTGAAAAGCTTTTAAAGTTACACATTAATAATATTAATCTTCAGATATAGTAAAATTATGTATATACGAGTCACTCTTAACATAGTAAAATAATTAGTTTTATTAATAAAAATTTTTTAGAAATTTACTATATTGAGTGTTTTATTAGTAAATACACTATATCAAGAGAATTATATATAAACTAATCTTGAGTTAATTTTTGTATTGAGATTTTAATAGTCTTCTCTATATTGAGTGACTCGTATATTATAATATATGCATATTTGTATACATATATATATATAGTGTTATATTATATAGTTTTTTATATTGATTACTATAAATATAACCATTTCTGTAACATGCACAGGATTTGTATATTATATCTCATATTATATAGCGCTATTTACAATATCCTATAGCAATATATATTACCTTTTCATATAGTATAGAATATTCTACGTATTGCGAATATGTACCACATAGTATTTGCACCCTTATAAGACATTTATCTTCATACAATATTTTGGTATTAGCCAATAAGGATACTATAAATGGTACTGATTATGTTATAAGTAACAAGAACTAATTTTGTTAGTTAATTTTAAATTATAACCCATAATTAATAACAAAACCAAGTATAGTTTTAGTTACTTATCTTGTAGCAATACTTTAAAGGCTACTCTTGCTAAATTTTTTGTTATTGCTATTAATCATAAAGATTCTTCATAGTTATACACTAGTCGAAATTAAAAAATTTGACTAGTGATAATTATTATATTTTTAGCAGTATAAAATTATATAATAACCACAAATATTCTTTATAATCAATTTGGCAACACTGCATATATGCACGTATATAAATTTGTACCTATATATATTTTAATATTAACTGTGTATTCAATGCTAATACTATAAATATAGAAAAATTTAAGTACACAAGCTCAAACTTTAAAATGATATTTGCGAAAAAATTATTCTATGAAACTTATTATTAATCTATTAGGCCAAGCTGTTCATAACTCTTGTATAAGTTATTGTCTACAACATGCATTTGGAAATTGTAATTTAGTTTACTCAGAAATATGTAAGGATTGTGAAAAGCTATTTACTTTTTGATGAAATAAAAACCAACACATCCTTTAAAATTCATAAACTTTTAAATGAGTATCAAACTAAACTTGTATATTTTTAAGCTTATCATGCATGAAAAACATATCTTAATGCTTAACTAAGTGCTAACTTTGCACAACTTGATTCAGATAGTGTGTTGATCATTGTTGACTACAAAATAAAAATCTTGTACCAAAAATTTAGAGAAACCAAGGCTGAATTTTTTGGCAAACACAGATAGTCACTCTATTTAGTCTTAATATATATGAAGGATCCTGATAGTGGTAAAATTAATATTTACATATTTGATCATTGGAGTAACGATAATAAACAAGATACCTGGTTTATAGCGTCTTCGCTTCATGGTATGCTAGAAACAATCGAAATAAAACCAAGGTAGATTAGTATTTTTTCTGATAATAGACCACATTATCACAATACAGAATTAATGATAATTATAGCTCATTGAAAAAAGTGGTATGGTATTTCAGTGCGTAAATGGATCTTTCTTGAGGCCAGTAAAGCGAAAACAGCAATTGATTCGTATCATGCCCAGGTATAAACAAATTTTCATTTTTGTAATTAGTAGAGTTGTTAATAGATTTGGTTGGGTTGATTCAACTTTCAACCTACTATATTAAATTAACTTCACTTCAGTTTTATCCGGGCTACTCCAGGCCTAGTTTAAGTTGCTTCAGGTTTATAGGCAGAAATTCGTCTGATTGGCTAATGCAAATCAATTGCCCAGATAACTTATTTATATGGTTTAAAGTACTTTTTAAGAATATAATATTACACAAGTAACTACTCTTAACAAATATCGTTTCTAGCTTTGAAGAGGTGCTAGAAAGCTAACTTCAAAAATAATCTCTAATAATCTTTAATTTAAGAGGGATTAGCTTAATAACGACTTTTTGAATTAAATAAAGAAAAAAAAACTTTTTCTAAATTTTAAACTGCTAAATAGAAATAGTTTCTAATGAAAATAACTATTTTTCTTTTTTTTAAAATTAAAAAATCATAAGTTGGGTTTTTAGACAAAACAAGATTGTTAATAAGAAGGTTTAATATAATATATAGAATAGACTTTAAGTTAGATCAGTTCTTGAAGCATATTAAGATTTGTTAAAGGTCTTGGCTTATATACTGTATGTGAAATATAGTGTTTAAGCTGGTTAAAAATAATAATTGCTTTATTATATTTTTTTATATATTTATAGTATACTGTATTTCTTGAATATATATTTTTTGATTTATACATTTTCTTTTTATATATAGGGCTTCATTTCTTTGTAGTTTTTTATTAATAATAATTAATATCTATATTGTAATAAAGCTATGAATTTGATTGGTTAATAATCATGGGTAGATCTACAAAAATTAACCAATCAGAGGACTTCTGCCTATAAGCTTTAAGTTGCTTCAAATTTATAGCCTTATTTTTTTAAACCCACTCCTACTTAAGCTATGTTCGGTCTGGAGTAACTTCAGAATCTTATTTCATTAATAAGCAGAAATGAAGTTTCCACTAATTCTTAATGAGATCAAAATATTATTATTACTAACACTCTAATCAATTATTACTATCTGGTTAGTTAACACATGCTATAAAACGATGGGTAAAAATAGATCATGATATTGAATCAGGTGAGAAAATACAAGAGGCAATAAAAGACTTGACAGGCACTCATGTTGCTAATATCATGCCTAATCATGAAAATTTGCGTATTTTTGCACCTAATTTTAAATAACAACAGATACAAGTATTAATTAAACTAAACTAAATAAAGAAAATAAAAAACTAAGAACGATATATAGAATTTCTAATTGGCACGAATGGACTTGGCTAGATGAAAGAGAGGATGCAGAATGTATTTTTGCTAGATCATTACCGGGATTAGGAGCATGAAAAAAATATACACCTGAGCAAATCATGTAAATTACAAAGAAACATGTTTTTAGAAAGCCGGAGCCAATGCTATCGGAACATACAACACCTACCAAGTCATAGACTATGCCAACATCATATATTTAAAATACCATTTATATTAATTATACTTTAGTTTATTAATTCAAATTTAATTATTTATTTTATTACTTGATAGATAAAGATGTGAACGAATCTTATATCAAATCCCAAGAGAATACAATGATAAGATTTATATATATAATACCCTATATTGACTAGATAATATTACCTACTGAAAGTACTTTTGGTAAATTTATTATGTTGAAAGTATTACTTTGAAAAAAGTTCAAAATTAAAAAAATGATCACACATATTGATATTATTTTACCAAAGGAACTTGCTCTTCAAATATATTTACATTTGTACTAGAAATTTTATTAAATTTGGATTAGTAAAATGCAATAAGTAGTGCTGATTTAAAATCTTTCAAAAAATTAACAAGTAAAGTTGATCGTGAAGAATTTTCACAATCAACTTTACATAACTGATTTTTTGAATAATAATAAGGAGACTAATTTATATGATATGAGTGCATTAGAGTGAAAACCTGAAGTAAATATTTAAGATTTTACAGTAATAAACTTAGCCTCTAAGAATTATATTACGTATCGGTATTGATCAGTATGATTGGTTGTCTGATAATTTCAGTAGCTAGTAGTTCAATAACATATCTCAAACATTCTATTGAAACATGATAAATTACATTTTATCAAAGATTAAACTTGGCATTATGAAAACTTAAATATTTACTTTCAGGTTTTTACTCTTATGTATTCATATATCAAAAGTTTTAATTTTGAGAATTATCATTAGATTTGATGAATTTTTAGCTTTGTTAAAAGCATCTACTTTCAGAAAGTAACATCATTATTAGCTTATTACATCTGATAGTTAAAAGACCAAATTTAACAAATATTAAAATTCTAGGAAATGTATACTTTAAATACAATTATTCTAACTCAAATAAATACACCTTGATATCTAAAAGGTAATCTCTTTAGTATAGTATTAATGTATATGTCAAATAAAGATTAAACTCTACTTATTTTTAACTTAGTCATGACAGGTATTTGTTAGGGTGGGCTCTTGCTAAAAATAAAAAAAATAATCAAAGAGAACCTTGGAAATGAATGACAGAACAAATCAGAAATTTATTAGAAAATATGTTTTATGTGAGGACAGCGAACAGTAAAAACAAATTTACAAAGCAAAAAATATATGATGAACTATTGAAACGGGTTCAACATGGTAAATTTGATCAAAGCAATGTTTCAAAAGTATCCACTATTAATAACTGGATTGTAACTTTTAATCACAAGTGGAAGCAAAATATAGCAAGACATTCTTTGGAGGTAGAGATCTTATCCGGTCAAAAATTTTGTATTCGAATATTTATTTATTCAATACTTTTAATATTCAAATATTCATTAAAAAATTTTGAATGAATATTTGAATATTCATTAAATATTCATTGAATATTGTATATACTATAAAACAATTTTATACTTTATTAATAC